CTGTGCGAAAAGCGATACATTTTCCACTCTCGTTCCTCTCACGCTCGCTTCCCCTCTCGGTCGCATAAATTTTCCTCGCTGGAGGTCATCGGTTTTCACTTTAATTTTTTCTATTCACCACTTTCATGGTTTTACTGCATTTTCTTCAGTTTTCTGGTACAATTGTAAATAATGGAATAGATAAATTTACTTTCCAACCAACCGTAATTTCCCGACATTTGTAAATTCGGCAATCATTAAACGTGTGTATGTACAGGGACAAAATCGCGGTTCGAGTTGTCGTTCGGTTGAAATCAGTTACGACTTTTGCGACGGCTTTTACCATAAAAATCAAATGATAATCTGTATCCAATCGTTCGACAATTGACAATCCAAATACAGTCCAGAATAAATAATTTATTTGTAATTTGACTTCCTTCCATCCTCTCATGGTTATGTTGTAATGATATTTACGGTGTGAGGACTTGTATTCAAAACTTAAATAGTTTTATTTTGGAGAACCAAGCTTTCAACAATCATACATTGTCTTCATCAGGGTTGCTGAAAAATTATAATTTGCACTAAAGGGACTAATAATTTATTGTCCATTCACGATAACAATCGGCATTCTGGCTATCTTTTCGAACGTAATTTTTCAAAATATTTGCATGGCCTAGTCTAATTTATGTAATTAAAAAAAATTTATTTTATATCACTGAACTGATAAATAAGGTCTTATTTTTGAGAGCAATTAATTTAATTTTAAAATGATGATGAGGTTGCATGAAAACCGATGACCTCCAGCGAGGAAAATTTATGCGAACGAGAGGGGAAGCGAGCGTGAGAGGAACGAGAGTGGAAAATGTATCGCTTTTCGCACAGTCAAAAATCAAGCGTTTTCGCCAACTTTACCCCTGATAACTTTGCTAATTCTGCACATTCAGAAAATTGATAAACCAAACCTCCATATTATTGAGCTGGACTATCCAACTGCAGTGGTCCCATTCAAATCTGCGATAACCACCTCACACCTCTGCATTGTCAGCACAAAAACTGTTTCATCGTCCATCATTTCAGACTATCCTGCATGCCAGTCATTTTGGTATAGAATATTTCTACATATTTATCAAATTGTATAAAATCATTTCTCCCATTATGACCGAACTTACCGCCTTACTATTTGAATTTGGTGAACTATCGCCAGGTAGCCACATTCACATTGTGACAGACAAGTTCAACTTGGAAACCAATTTCCCACCAGATTTTAGAATTCAAACGCCTAACACGTTCTATAAGATAACAAATAGCTCAAATTTTTTGAGAAAAGTGGAGTACGATGCACTGCCTACTATATCTCCTCAACATATTAGAGCCTCTTCAATTCTTAGTATGCTGGTTATATTTGTTTTATCCAATCCTCCAGAAACGTTAGACCAAACCTTAAACCCTTCAACCATTCAAATTAAAAAGCTGACACATGCCGTTAACTCTGGCCGAAATTTGTTAGTGCCTTCGATCCTACTGGAGAAAGAGTTGTTCCAGGGTCGACGATATTTTAAAAGTCCCTTTGCCATATTTTGGTTCACCAATTGGATTCCAACCGACCGATTTCAGTTTCCAAGGAAAAGTTTTTTTATGAGGCAACTCTATGTGAATGAAATCCAGCCGATATATACTACTGTATTTATAGTTCAGATTCAAACAAAACGGAAGAGAATTTCCAAATCTGAACTAGTCTTGGTGTGCAATCACTGTTTTTCGAAAAACAGCGTTGAATTCATTACAGCAGGCCACATATCGAATTTAGTCCCACGAATTATATGGATTTCAAGAATCAAAAAGTCCACCCAAGTAAGGTTAGGATTTCATGAGCAGTTAGACAAATTGATCAATGATTTAGCTCCAACCTTATACGTTGGTGTGCAGCACGATCAAATATTCAAACCGTATATTTCGTACGGTTGTCAAAATAAATTCAAAGCAAAAAATATCAAATTTTTCGATATCAGCGAGATAGTTCTATGTGGAGGCAATGTGACAATTTATCATTTGATGTTTAATCGCCTATATCGTGATGTCACCCATCCTGATGAAGCCACCCAGCCAGTTATATATGAGGAGGATCATCTTATGCTTAGGTACGTCAAGTTGTTTTTGTATAAAGTTGCCTATATCGAAAATACATTCCGAATTAAGACAAGTCAATAAATTAGGCATGTTACGCGAGATGGGGGAAGGGGATCCAAGGCACCAATGATATGGTGCCGACTTGGCACACGTTTAAGGGTGGTCCAGAAATATGTGACTTTTGCGCGACATTCTTTATGTCCCCTAATGCATCTGACGAAATATTGAACGTCACGTAGTTTGCCATAAATATAAAACAACACAACAAAGTCTATTATCCCACACTACACGTGGAATGAAATTTTTCTGATAATTCGTAATAAAATGTTTGCATATAGTTGTGTGAACACACATTTGCCAATAGCTTCATTGCATGGTCATAAAGTTACGTCTAATGCCATTCATAAACTCAGTTTCCCACCTTTACCAAAGGCGTTCTATCCATGCAACTAGGAAGGACATCGCTTTCTCGGATCACGTCTTCATCACGGGGGACAAGGCATTTAATTTTCTAACCTGTTGGTTCACATTAAAGTATAATTTTAGAATTTACTTTACACCATTTCATGCAACATTGTGGATTAGCCTGCTGTCTACCGTTATAATTATGACACTACTTCTAACCATGTATCTACGCAGTATACAGGCTGAACGGCTGGTTTCCACTTGGACACTTTTCTTCAGTAACTTGGTCGGCCAGTCGTACAGCCTTATAGGGGAGGTGAGCAAGAGATTAGTCGTCAGGATTGGATTAGGGTCGTGGTTTTTGATATGTCTGATATTCACACAAGGTAATTTAATTATTGGCGTATTGGAATTCGCTACAAAATTGGACACAAAAGTAACCAACCTTTGAACAAATTCTAGGGTACATTGGAGTTCTCCTCAATTACCTTTGTGCGCCACTCCCTCAAATAAGCGTTACCAATTTTTATGATCTAGCAACACCTGTTTGCAACTACCAACAAAATAACCCCAATTCTCAATCCCGCAAATGTCCGCAAAATCTTTGGTACAACGTATCAATTTATGTGGAAAAGGCCTATCGTGAATTAAACCCTGAAACTGAGTTTAGGCTAATGTCACCACCAGATAATGCAATCTACATTGATTACATAGATAGCATTGTTTCAGCCGTAGGTCTAAATAAGCCAGCTGAATATATTTCCGAAGTAAGACAGTTGGGAATGCACTTAACTAATTTTGCAAAAGCATTGGCCGATTTCGCAGTAGAAAGACACCATGGATATACTGCAGCACGCCCAAGATTCGATTCATTTCAGTCAGCAAGGGAAACCACTTCAGCATGGATTCAAAAATTAGCAGTAACAAGAAATTACATCATAAGTTATAAAATATATTTAATCAATTTTATGTCTAACGAACTTTAATGTAACAGCCATCTCCTGACACGTACGATGATATACTAGCCTACAGCTTACAGCACCCGTACGAACGTGAATATCTCCCTGCAGGATGGTTAAGCCTACTAAAAAATCGAGCTGGATTCGACGAAATGCTGGAGCAAGAGTTAGTTAAATGTAGTAGGACTGCATGGGTTGATAATACACCTCAGTTGAAGCAATGTTTCGATTATTTGTTAAGGTAAGCAGTGAGTACATAAATAGTTTCCAAAAAATAATGAATCTGTATTTGATTGCAGACACTATTACTGGATAAACTTCTTTATCGGAAAGCGTCCAATTCTTGGACGCCCTACAGCATTCCAGGTACACAATACAGGAGTATCAAAGTTGGGCAGAAGAATGAGCGCCTTTTTAGAGAGCGGGTGTTACGATTACTTTAAAACGAATTCGTCACGGTCAGGCACTCTATCCGCTAAAATGAAAAATTATACAATATCGATTATGACCAAGATGCGTCCTCCCCTTCGCCATGAAGCAATGAATCTCTCCAAATCAATTTCTACCGTATTTATAATTTTTTGCGGATTGCTTCTTTCCTCAATTTGGGTACATATGGTTTCGGTGATTTATTTCTGTCGGATTGAGGTAATGAATACTGCGCACAAGGTTACAAAAGTATGTTTGTCGGTTGTGGGTTGCAGTTATAACTGGTCGCGGAAAAATTGTCGTTGTTTGAGAAACTGTGGAATGAACCTCGCAGTAATAGTAAAAAGTGCTATATTGCGATATGCAATGAAGGTAATTGATTATTGATGGAATTTGGTATGATATTGTTTCCTTATTCGGTTAAACCTAAACCACAGAGCTTGTGCTAAGATTCATTACGTCCTATTTCTTTCAGGGTTGTAGTTCATTACACTCTAAATATGTATGTAAATTTGCATAAATGAAATCAAATCTTCGATTTCGTCATATTACCGCCCGTTACACATATGTAAATATGCGTAAATGTTAGGATTGCTTCCTTGAATAATTTAAAACATTCTTCCTGGTATTCAAGTAAATGAGACGTATAAATCAATAAGAATTACACTCTACTCTTCTGACTTTAATGTCTCTACCGCTAACATGATCTTCACTGGTGTAAATTTTTTTGAGCGAATCTATCCTCATTATCGTATGTCGCAGTGTCCATAACCATGCTTTCACCAAATTTTGGCAAAGGTCAGTACGGTCAAAAGTGTCATACTAGCATATCTGATACACAAAGATACTGATCGGGAAAGAATCTGGTCGGGTCGAACATAAACTGCCATACAATCGGAAATGTTTAATATTTTTGACATCTGAAAATCAATCGACCATCTGAAATATATACACATAGACTAAAGGTGTGCAAAATTTCATTGAAATCGGTCAAGTAGTTCAGAATAGGGAGCTCAGAGAAAATTGTTTTTAATTCCAGAGTCAAAATAATTTTTGTAATTCATGGATTATTTATGTTCAAGCATGTAAACTATTTAGAAATGATATGTAAATCTTATTTTTCTTTATTCACACTGAATCATGTATCTAAAGTACATAAATACATCACAGATTTAAAAAGCATTTAAAAGCTACAACGAAATTGCCAAGAAAGACTGACTTCGCAGGAGTCGCACAAATTAAATCCCCACCCTGCTCAAGATTAAAACCTAACCTAATAGATAAGAGACGAAGAAATTGCCAGAGTTGTTTTAATATAAATTTAGATATTTAAATATTTAATAAGATATCAAATATCCCGTCTTAAAAATTCGTAGTCACGCAAATTTCCTTTGACCCGTTTCCTTCAAGCAAATGCGGAATATCCTTAAACATTGGCCTATCTTCTGGATTTGTCTTCCAGCATTGTACCATAACCTTATTGTAAAAATTCAGTTCAAAACTAATTACGTCCTAAAACCTCCACCCGTGTTTTATTTATTACCTTACAAATATTCAGAGGCGCAAACTGGTTTTTGAAGACGATCTCCGGCTCTTAATTTTTCTATAAAGTTCGACGTCCAACACAATTCTGACCAAGGGGTTTCCCCAAAGCTGAATATTTCCCAGAGTAAAACCCCATACGAGTAAATGTCAGATTGTACAGAAAATTTCAAACAATCCAAACTTTCAGGAGCCATTGAGCGCCAAGGGAATTTCTGGATGTTAGTATTTCCTTACAATTATAGTTCTCCAACTTTGTATTACTGTGGGTGACTAACGGGTGACTTACTGATTGCTCCGTATTCCTTGCGTACCCTTGGTACTCGTAATGTTTGCGAGACATTCCAAAATCCGAGATTTTTGCGACTAATATGTTATCCAACAGAATGTTTCTGGCAGCATCTCCATGGACCAACTATGACCAAAATTAGAAAAGTTATGATAATAAATTATGTTTCCATCTTAGGTGTTACTCGCGTATAAGCCCGTCTCCCGCCGGACGAGCGATAATTATAAGGCGCATATGTCTGCCGGTAAAGGAAGTGAAAGTCAAGAAAATCAAGTTTAGAATGGCGCGTAAATTCAAAATTAATGAAAAATCTGTATAATAAACTAATTAATAAAAGTAATTAATCTTAAATTCACTTCCACTTTCACTTCCGTTGCCAACAAAAATTTGCAACTTATAATATAGATACCTTTTGGGATGCTAAGTAATCCATCCCTGACGCAATTTCTATCGACCATCTATAAAATTGCCGCACTGTGGTCTCCACGGATTCAGCGGGATTGAAATTGAAACAGGTTTTTTGTAAATTTTGTAGAAACTTGTCCAGACTTCCGTTATTGCAAAGCAGTGCTCGCAACGGGTCCGGGTCCCAAGACCCGTTTTTTCCGGGTCCCAGGTCCGGGTCCGGCTCCGGGTCGGGTCCGGATCAAAAATTTAAAAGACCCGGACCCGGACCCGACGGGTCCGGGTCACCGATTTTATAATGTATATAAACGGGTCTCGGGTCGGGTCAGGGTCCGGGTCCTATGGTTTGAACCGGACCCGAAAACCGGGTCCTTATGACTGTTTCTAGTCTGGGGTGATGAGAGACAGAATTTCATTTTTAATCAACATGTCTAATCATTGAAGCTTCATAAGAAGCATTAAAAAATATTGATTAAATTACTTGAATCGTTATTGATAAAAATTTATATGTAGGTATCTTTTGCCTCTTTTGCCTCTTTTGAACTTAGGTATCTGTTAAAGATAACTATGACACTGGCAATCCTTAAATATGTGTCTACATATTGTAGCACTAATTGTAAATTAGTGTACGAAAAGTGAAGGAGGACCCAATTTGCGCCCACTCAAAGACACAGAATGTGAAGAAGTTTTTGACCTTTTCATCACCAGAAATCTAACTTTAATCCTTGATTTTGATTTTTTTGCTTTCTTCATCGCATATATGTAGTTACTTTTTAATTTCCAACATCAAACTCAACTTTTATAAATTTTGATTTTTTCGAAAACATCGTGAGGAAATTTTAGAACAAAAGTTTGAATGCAGCTGTTTTCGTGACTGTAATTCCTTAGACGGGGCGTGGCATGTCGTGGGCGCAGATGGTGCCATCGAGAATAACCCTTCAGTTTTCGTGCACACCTTAGAACTAGTACTGCAGCATATCCTAAAGGCATCAACGTAGGTTACTTGGAAGCTCCAGCGTTAAATATAATATTTGTCTATGTGTCTGTATGGATTGTCTACACCGATTTAACGTGCACTTGTATGCGGGTTTTGAGTTTGAATTCCTGTGTCTCAACTTTCCCTTCCATATATTCAAATTGCGATTTTGAAACATATTCATCTCTGTGGGATTTTTTACAATATGAAGATTTTAATGCGCTTAAAAATCGATAATTTTTAGGTTTACAAGGTTAGGAGGCTGGAATTTTAATTTTTTTCTGAAATGAGTGAATATTTAGTTTTTACTTATTATTTTTTATCTATTTCATATGTATTTCCTTCTGGAAGAGAACAAATCAAAATTCTATCGTCGTATTAATAACCCTAAAAATTAACGATGTTTAGGTCAGGGTTGCAGAAATCTCAGCTCACCTTCAAAAATCTCATCTCAGTGAGATATAATGAGAAATAGTGAGACGTGAGAAATATGAGATATAGTGAGATTGGTGAGCCATGCACTAGCGCCACCTAGCGGGCGGGGTCATGAACTACAAGTTTAGCTCATTATTTCTCAAATTTCTCACTCAGCCCCAACTGTGATGATTGATATAAATCATTAAATCTCACTAAATCTCACCAGGTGATATATACCACTTGCAACCCTGGTTTAAGTGCATTAAAATCATCTTCATATTGTAAAAACCCATGGAGATGAACAGGTTTCAAAATCGCAATTTGGATATATGAAAGATGGGAAAGTTGAGACACAACAATTCAAACCTTAACCCATTGCCAAATTTAATGACAATTTCCTCACTTACAAATTTAGCCGCGTACGTAAACAAAACGGTGCATATCGTCATCCCAATTTCAATCATTATTTGGAAGTATTGGATTCTAATTTCTGCCTCATCATAGACAACCGACCTTCCGAACGCGATCAAATTGAGGACACTGAGTATCACTATGGTGACAGATTCAGCCTGAGGAGTTCAGAAATAAATATTTAATATACTCTTAATAATTCACGCAGGTAATGATTTCTCGGTAATAAATTTGATAATAATATTTTACCAGATATGTAGTAAAAATTCATTACCATGATGATAAAACTTATTACCAAGCCATTACCACACGGGACAACTTATCATTACCACTTTGCTAGAGTCATACATATACTTGTGCTTTTCGGTAATGTTTATTACCAGATTATTTACAGTGTAGAAATAAAACAATTTGATGCATAAAAACACTTGAAAACTTGTTTACCTGCCATAATGCAGCGACTATGTAAAGCTTTGACATCAATGGTAACTTAGCCATGGTAAATTTTTTGCAAGCAAATTTTTAAGCCTGCTTGACTTCGAACAGTAAACTGATCTTTAACAAGTTCTGGATGAGTGCAAAGCTCTTTTGGTGAGGGTTTTTATAAATATTTCGGTACGTTTTCCTCTTGTAAAATCCATAGTTTAAATTTTTTCTTATAAAGAAGCCAAATCAAACCAAATGTGGTGAAAGAATTTATCTTTGTGGTTGTGGTCGGTCATAGTACAACTTTTTTAATCAGGGAAAACCAAGTACTTACTTTGCGCAAAACATTGTTTAACATTGCACAATGTTATAAGTATATACGATTTAAACTTCATTTCCTTAAGTAACCAAAACGACAGATTTTTCCTTAAACGCCACGTAAAATGTATACAACCAAGTTTAAGCACTTGATCCGGTAGTGGTAAGAAATTCGTGCATTTATAAAATATTTATTAATCAAACACATTTTAGACAACTTGTTTTAAATACAAGCTGTAAGTATGTAGTGAAAAACAACGTTTTTTGTAACTTTTGTAATTTAGCTAAAACAACAAAAATAATTACTTTGTGTTTGCTTGCTTTAACAGATTAATTCCAACTTATCTACGTGTATTTACCGATACCTGGTTTATACGAAAGTACGACACCTTACCTTCATTTGACATTAGCGTTTCACACGCCATGAATATTTTAGTACCACAGGGTCATATTTATCATCCACAAACACGCAATAGCTACAGCCACATATTCATAATCTATATTATCACCACACCTTTTTGTCTACTCCTGCATAACAAAAATTCTTCGCAATGTTTCGATTCTACATATCGATTTTATTTTTCAATCTCTTCGCAACATCCACGCGAACTACGTTTATCCCAAATTTCGGAGAATATTGTCTCACCCACATAATAAACTATGAAGGTAAAGATTTGCAGGGATTTACACATCCCATTTTACTCTCTCGACACGAACAAGTTGCAAGTACGACATACGATTCAACCACTAAAATCGAAATAGTCGAATGTTATCACATTCTGTATGAAAAAACGGTGCAAAATCCCGCCTGGTTTTGGAACCTTAATCTTTCCGAGTTCAGTGGTAACAAGATTGACACCTTATTTAAAGACCACACCTTAACAGCTAGGTGGAACTGCCTCACAGCAATATTCCTATTTCCACCCAGCCAAATGCTGGAAAGGGGTGACACTTCAAACCAAATAAAAACTGAGAGATACGACGACTACATCCGGTTATGATTGCCCAAGAAAAAAATTCATCCATATGTGAAACGCGAATTATCAATTCCGAACCATGTTGTCCAAGTGATTGAGCAAATATTTAAAAAACTGTGGTCAGCTTGTTGCGCAATATTCAACAGACCTATTCCAAACCCCAAATTATTCTTAATATTTCTCTCAGAGAGGATGACAGTCAAAAATGTATTGATTTCTTGCCATACAGATACAAATTCTGTGTTACTAGAGTTTCCAAACATTTCAGAAAAAACTAATAGGTCATCTGATCCATTCAAAAAATGTGACCAGCTCCTACAAATGGATAAATTCTGGGCTGTCTACATTCTTCGCTTTTACACAAATATTGTCAACACGAAACCACTGATTCCATCTGAACTTGCTCTATTTTCCGCGAACCAGTTGCCCGACGCGAGTCTAGTGTTAATACATTGGGAACTATTTAGAATAATTTGTCCACCCGTGACCCAAATAAATGTGACGTCCTACTTCTCTCATGCCGAACCAACATCCCATTTAATTCTAGGAAATCATTACGATTCACCAGAATGGAAATTATTTCCCGTCATATGGCAAGAAACTGCCACATTTTTGGCATGTGGCGGATTAAAATATGGTAGCTTAGATTTTAATAATTTTGTATATTGCTTCTCTTTATCGACATGGCTTCTAATTGTGACATGTGCCCTGATTTCAGCAGTAATAATATTGGAATTCAAAATATCCTCAAACCTTTTAATCCTAGCAACTAAGATATTTTTGGAACAGGATGATCCAAAATTGGTCAACAAGGATGGAAAAAATTATCTGTACTTCGTATCAACCGGGGTTATCTTGTCGTTCGTAGTGATTACTAATTCATACAAGGGTGACAACATTATGGCAATTGCATCTCCGCTGAAACCAATTCGCTACAAGAATCTTATCCAACTGGTTAATAACTCATTTTCTATTTATATCTATGCAGTTTATAAGTCTGTCGAAACCGGTTTTTCGAACGGGACGGTCATCGAATTCGACTATGTGGAATCCCTGCTTAAAACTTGGGTACAATTTCATGGATACAGTTTGAGTGAAAAAAGGTTACAATTTTACGAGCGAGTGATAACAACTTATAGAGATGTTGGAAACGTATTGGGAGAATTATTTGGAACGGATCGTATTAATTGTAGCAATGTTGCCGTGGTAGATTGGAAGCATAGTTTGCAATCCAGATACGAACAAGTGATGGATGGTCGTTACTCATTTTCTTTGGGAGAAGAGACAATTGTAAGGAAACATAACGGATGGCAATTACTTAACCTTAGAGATACGAAGATAGTTGAGAGAATAACGAAAATAATGGAATCAGGGATATTGGAATGGTGGCAAACATTTCGAAATTTTGCGCTTGATCTGAAAAATATAAAAAGGCGTGGCAGGAAGTTTGTACCGTTAATATTGGAAGGGAATATAGTAACGTTATTTATTCGTTGTGGTACACTTATTGCTCTAGCGGGTGCAATCTTTTGTATCGAGAAAGTTTGGAGAGTTATGAAAATAATTTTTGTATCAATAATCACCTGTAAGTTTCAATGCCAATGTGATATCTTAAAAGATGATTATATTAAGGTTTTAAGACTTGGATTTATTGATGAATCCTTGTAAATACAACCCGTGATGGTATAATTAATTTTAAATGTTGTGTGTCAAAAATGATTAAATGTATAAATTTCATCTGTTAACAAAAATAGAGAAAGTTTAATGAAAGATGCAAATTGTTCAAATTTCGCATTATCACTTTACAATTCATTTCTTCAAAGGAATTGTCAGTAAATTTAAAAATATTTACGTTAATTACAAACTGTTGCAGCGTAAAATGAATATATGTAAAATGTTGCAATGTAAAGTAAATTTATGTAATGTTTTGATTAGGCATTGTGTGCCATATACATTTGACTAAGAATGTGTGTACGTGACTGAGTGTGAGGAAGCGCTTCTAGAAGTTCCGAAAACAAGCCAACATCATCATCATCATGAACCTTTTTCTCCGCATCAAGGACACGGAGAAGTCAGTCCACGCTTAGAAGTCTCGGTGCCTAGTCTCGTTGACTCACTTGTCAGTCACGCAATATTTCCGAAATAGTTGCTGATAGGTCTAGAGTAATTGTTTTATTTGTATTTGAACGGTTTTACGCGAATAATAAAAGTATTTTAAGATATCCAGTCGGCCTTTTGCTTGTAGCTCGAATTCAGAGGTTTATATCCATAGGGGATCAATCCAGCGGATAGTTACCAAGAGGTGTTGTCAGCGGATTGTACACTGAGTTCAGATAGGCAGTTAGGGATATTCTTAAGTACCTTTCGACATCGCCATTTCGTATTAGATACATAACGGTAGCAGGGCCTTAAAACCCCTACGTCGCTACCCCCCTTACTAAAACCCATGAGGGGACTTTGATGTTAACAGTAGAGAACTATCACGATTCGTCGGATAGTTTCAACGGAAATTATTAATTTGGAGCATCACCCCCCGCACAAACTATTATGTAATATAAATATGGATATATTAGAATGATATTATCAATTACTAGAATTTAATTATGTAACTAATTACATAATTAGGAAATATACATATTTGCTAAATTTTATTTGCGGCTAACACACCCCAATTTCTTGTGCTTGTCCCTTGAAGGCCTTCAGGATTTTGTCAGCATTTTGAGCGGTGGTGTTACTCTGATAAACGAAAATATGTACCGTTGTCGTTTGGTTTTTCGACGCCATGATTTTTCGCATCACGCTGTCTTTGATCTTGATAGTCTTGTTGACATGATTCTGCCCGATGAGTTGGTCATTCGAGACGTCTGCGGTCCCTACTATCTGGAGATTTAAAAAAATCAAGTGCAATTTTATTTCTCCCGCGATACATAATAAGGAGTTCCAACTTTGTTAAAAATCGTTTTTTTGCTTACATCACAAAACGCTTTTTTCTCAATCCCGCCAGCGATTTCGAAATTTTTTCCAATATTTTTGCTCAACAATAAAATCAAGGTTAAGATAATTTTATTTTTGGACCAAAAGAGTGAAAAAAGATATAAACCGCATCGCAATTGAGAAAAAAGTGTTTTGAGGCAATAACAAATACATCCATTTTTTACAAAGTTGGGAGTCCCCAATATACCGCTAAAAAACTATGTACCCAGGGTTTCGTAAATTGCTCATTTTCATACAATGTCAATTTTAGATGTGCGTTTTTACTGGTTACCTACGAAATTTCAATTTCATGGATTACTACATTTGATTGTCAATAAAGATGCACGAAATTCTATTAAATTCAGTAAAAAGTATAAATTATACATGCATTCGCGAATTTGTAGGAAAATACTTCCGGAAACACGGGATTGTACGAGTCACCGATTTCTTTCGTTCTCGCCGTGCAGTTTGGCGCAGCTGATGAAACAATTTCCAAATGGAGATCTGTAGAATCATTCCGGAAGTCATTGTTTTGTGCTAATTTAACTTATCATGAGATCTTCCCAAGTACCTACATACCTGGTTTGGTAAATATATCAGTGTCACCGGCATTGCTACATACAAAGCAAAATAAAGTTTCAGTATAAATAGATTTCATTTCAAAATTTTGCTTTTCCTCCTTTAATTCGAACTTACTGAATTTCGAAGCGCAATCTTAACGCGATTTCGGATGTTTTATTTTCCAATGTGACCGAAGGCAAGATGAGATAGATAAGTAGCGAGGCGAAACCACGCTTGGGATCCATTAGAAATAACTCTAAATGGAGGGAGACAACCTCTTATTTGTGTCATTTAGCGCCGACTAAATAACTTAGCCCAAATTACGTGATAAAACTATGCATAACCGGATATTGAACTTTAATTGTTTCTGTGAAACAAAGGACGTGACATTGCATTTACATAGGTTTTAATGATTAGGGAGCGCTGAAATATTGTTAGAAAACAATGAACCGGATATTTCTTTGTGAAAGTTTTATTAATTGAAATTATTTTATTTTGTATTCGTACCGATTTTTATATGGGTGGTTTTATTTATTCCAACAAATGTATTTTGTAAATGGCGTGCAATTACATGTGTTAAAATATTAAGCTGCAGCCAGCAACTGCTTGTTCTATTCATAACAGTCATTACCACTGCTGAGAGCTGCGGATCGTTTATTGAACTGAAAGTCAGTCATAATGGTTCAATTCTCTAAATCCAAGCATAAATAAATCTAACAAAATTTTTCAAACTTACAACATGTACTTGCACAAAATTTCACCTGATGCCCGTCAACATATAAACTTTTTGTAATCAAAAAATATTGTTTCATCTGAGTACTTTCCTTTTTTTAAATAAATTTCTTTTATTCAAGTTATTGCTGAAAATTAGAGAATTTTAACACAATTTACTACACGATAAAAACCAATTATATCCCACAACGCACAATGCTTACCCCTACTGATTGAATTTTCCGAAAGAAAAGAATTCCACAAAAGTGAAGAATACATGTCAAAATTTATTAATTGAACTGACGAAACCATGAAAGAAAAATGGGACATCTTATTTCATATGACTTTTCCACAATTCTGCTGCAACTCCATATGGATTATATCCAAGAACCTTCTGCTTCGGAACGGGAGAGGAGCTTGTCCGGATTTGTTGCAGCTTTGATGGAAAAAAGTACATGAATATATTTTCAGATTTAAATTTTTCTGATTCTTCTCCAAAATCTGATTACCTTTGTGATTTCCAACTGCGTTTGGTACGAGTGAACCATCCAAAGTTGGACCAATTCGGGGAGGAGGAGCGCCGGTTGGGTGGTGGAGTAGCCGATGCCGCGGAATATGAGGAGGACGGATTGAATTTGAAGCCAGGTTGTCATAAATTCCTCGTCTTTCTGTAATATTTGGTATAAATAATTTATTTTTTATCAATTCCGCCTTTATTTTAAACAACTAGTGTATAAGACCGTCTCTCGCCGGGCGAGCGCGAAATATTTATACTGTGAAAATGTCTGTCGCCAACGAAAGTGAAGGTCAAGTTTTGAATGGCGCGTAAATTCAAAATTAAATAAAGCTATAATTAGTAAGTAATTAAGTTTAAATTCACTTCCACTTCCGTCACGGAAAATTACTTTCACTTCCGTTGCCAACAAACATTTCGAGCTTATAATATAGATATTCAACGATTACTGACCGTTTCTACTGCGGCATACAGCCTGCCATGCAAGTACATCATTGGAACGGTGTAGACTCCAAGAATTCCCGCCCCGATAAGCCGCGTGGTTGGAGTCATTTCTAAAAAACAAAAACCGTTAAATTACTTAAAATAATTTCTATGGGGACAATCAGGTAATCGAAGGTAAAATTGAGTTTGCTGGATAACAACAAAGCATCTTAACAATCTACATGCAATTAATTCATCTGTCTTGAAAGCGCTGCAAGCCAAATCCCCATATCCGGTTAAGACATAGGTAACATAGGCGAAAATGGAGACCAGTACGATTAAATGTGCTGCCTGTAAATACGACATGTCAAAAGTAGTTCTAATTGACGACACGAATTTGACGAATCATCAGACAGCGGATACATATTTATGTATTTTTAACTTTTTCATACCAAATAAGATCGTAATAAAACTTCGTATACTGACATCTCATGTTAGCACGATCGCAAAAATTCATATTTACTTCCTCTAAATCCACGCAGGATTGAACTTTCACAGAAATTGAGAATTCAGAGAAACCACGCCACAGTCAGTCTCAAATTCCCTCAAATAATGCAAGGAACTTTGAGAGTGACAGTGGTGTAGTATCTCAGAATTCTAAATTTCTGTAAAAGTTCAATCTTGCGTGGAGTTAGAGTAGGTTTCCATTTTTTACATGTTTACATGTATTTTAGGGTTCTTGAACATTTTACATATTTTCATAAATATTTTGAGGAATTTACGAACATACATTGCCGCCCTCTGCTAATCATATCAAAGTTAAATGATAATTAAAACTTTGTGAATACGTACCACATTCAAAGCAGCGACAACGTAGACGCCGTTTTCCAACGAAATTATATCAGCCATTCCTCGGCCTTCTTCTTGCCCGCTAAAAACCGACATTTCCATCCTCCCGATGTTCTAACGGAAATCGAAAGTGGATTCCAGATTCTGGGAAAAAACTTAAGCTCCTGTCTCAGGAGGATACTGCGCACGACTGGATGGATTTGGGTGGAGAATTTCATTTCAGTTGGAGTTGGATTATTTGGAGTTTGGAAGAAGAACCCTCCTCCCAATGTTGGGAGATGTATGTAGACAGCTTTGTATGGCTTTGTAGCATCAGTTTGTATTGCATCTAGTGGTCTCCACGGTTCGATTCGGTTCGGTTCTTAGACCGAAATTCAAGAACCGAAACCTTTTTAAGTGAAACAGAACCGGATCCGAACCTGACCGAACCGGCAGTGTTTCCATAACATGTCATAGGTGCCACCAAAATTTGGGATTGTACGTCAAAATTTCATTTCCGTAATTTTGGAGGTGTAACCAAGTTAAAATTTCACTTCAGAAACTTTGGAGGAGTGACAAAGTCAAAATTACATTTCGGAAAATTTGGAGATATAACCAAGTCAAAATTCCATTTTGAGCGTTTAGCTCCACAAATTCAGAGAAGTTTTTTCCAAAATATAAAGTCCCTGGTTGATTTCAATAATCCGCTCCAAACCGAACCAGCCGGTTTTTTCGATTCGCATCGGTTCTCTATACAAAACCGTCCCAAACCAGTTCGGTCCGGTCCGGTCCTGTCCGGTCCAGTCCGGTTCGGTTAGAACCGGGAACAGTTGACACCACTAATTGTATTTATCTTGCGTTTATTGTGTAAGAATGTTTTGTTATATAATTCAAACTCACCCGAGGGAAGGAAAGCTGAAATAAAAAAGGTAAATATAAAAAAGGTAAAGTTCAAGGCCACTAGATTCAATCTAAGCAAAGATTGAGAAAGAAAAACAAGTTCAAGCTGAGCTACAGGTATGGAAGGGGAAAGTTATTGGGCTGTTTACTAACCAAGTCAACCAGCATCAAAAGTATATAAAAGACGAAGTGAAGAGACCCTTCTTTTGTGTTTTTCTCAGGCACCTTTGCTCATCTGAGGCAGTACTGTACATATGTATATCATCAATGGACGGCCGTATGTATGTATTTCTAACTTTTTCATATCAGATCAGATCGTACTAATTGTGAGACTTTACGTACTGACATCCCACTTAAATCCGATCGGGAAAATTGAAATGTATTTAGTTTTCCATATTTTCCATATTTAAAGTTTTCGTACTTAACGTACTGATTTTCATATACATTTTGAGGATTTTTCGTGCATAAAATTCAAACACAGTTTTCCATATTTTAGGTTTTCGTACATTTTACATATTTTCATACACATTTTGACGATTTTTCATACATGCACATATTCTAGATATTTCGAGTATTTTTCTACCATAATTATAAATATTTCAGTAGATATTTTGAAGTGCTTTCATGTAAAAATATTTGTCTTCATTCAGAAATTAAGGTTTCATCAAAATCAAATTTCAGAAATAAATATGGCAGAAAGTTTAAGTTGAAAAGCATTTTTTATGCGCGTATTTTCAATTTTCTGTACGCAAAATTTACGTAGTATATACATATCCGCCCTCTGATCATCAAAAACAAGGGAATTAAAACGGTTGAGAAGCAAAAATGCGAATTTTGCATTGAGCAACACCTCACAGCATGGCTGCTTATTTTAAAATAGTAGGGAAGCCACGGAAAAAGTTTTGCCTTGATTTGGCAATTTATGTAAATTTACTGAACTATCTATCAAGCATATTGGACGCGAAAGAAGTACATTTTTGTGTTTCATTTTTTTGCACAGAGTGTCTTGCACATAAAAGTTGAGTATTTACATATACTGATCCTATCCCTCCAGGATATGCAACTCCTTTATAGTGGATGTTGGTGGGGGCACATATAGCAAAGGCAGGTGCACAGTGTGCGGATCACTGAAAAAGCGGACAAATTATTTTCAGGTTCGAGCCCTGGTCAGGGCCTTATTTTTGTTTGCATTGTTGCCGACTTTTTAAGGCTGGAGTTTTCAGCAACACCAATCCCTTTGACTTTCGACGACCTGGTGACCGTGTGCATGGGACGAAAAGTGAGAGATATCAAATTGTCGTACTTTTCGGCACATACACACGGTCACCAGGTCGTCGAAGGTCAAAGGGATTGTGGTTGCTGAACCCTCTAGCCTTAAAAAGTCGGCAAAAATGCAAACAAAAATAAGGTCCCGACCAGGGGTCGAACCTGAAAATAATTTGTCCGCTTTTTCAGTGATCCGCACACTGTGCACCTGCCTTTTTTGCTATATGTGCCACCACCAACATCACTTCACTATAAAGAAAAAGAGTTGCATATGCTGGAGGGATAGGATCAGTATGTACGTGTAATGCTTGAAATGATTTTCACATTCATTTCTATCAAGTATTGCATTTGTAAGTATTTATTAGCTATGCTTACTTTTTTATTAAAAAAATACAAATCAGTCAATTCCATCCAAATGAAATGCCAGGGGAAATTAAGTCCCTATATTTAAATATTTGCCAACATTCTTGATATGTTTTTATACTTCTATTTATCTAATTTAGGAAGGCCTGTGGTTCACATTTTTTTTGCCATCAATCGACACGATGACCCAGCCCTGGTTATAAAAATAAGTCGTCTGGATCTTCCCTGGCTGACATCTCTTCTTCTTGGGTACCTAGGATGACTTCCTACTTGATGATTATCTCGTCAGAATGGGGCGCTCCTTTTTCGAGGAAACTTGTAAAACAAAAAAAATATGATACCATGCATAAGTAGTGAAACTATGAGTACAGGGTGGTTTAAATGTCACGTTACAAAGTAAAATTTTTCAATGGGAAAAATTCGTAAATTTCCATTAGGGGACGTTTTTTCTTGGAGACCCTCCCCTTTACGTTATGAAGTTTATGAACGTCCCCTTAGTTACCGAAATTTGGTCTCTGAAATTAAAGATTTTAAGAACTTTGTCATCAGTGTTTCACAGTTTTGATAATAATTTAAAAAATCTCAATCCCAAATCTTGTCACTAACGGAGATTTAGGGACTTTTCCCTTCTGAAAATTTTCCATCGCAGCGTGACATTTAAACCTCCCTGTACTTATAACAGCCGGAACTTACATCATGTCAGGCGAAAAATCTTCTGCACCTTGTACTTTTGACGAAGTATTCGTCGCAGCTAATCTGGTGCATTCACTAGAAAATAATTCATGCAAAAATAATAATTAAACTACTAATTTAATTTTTGCCTAAATTCACGAACTTCTTCTCTCGGAGGTGAGCTGTTAAATATTTTCGTTTCTTGAACCGAGCCCCACACCGATGACAAGTGGTATGATTGTCCCCAAACTTGCTCTCATTTACGACACATTCGTGTCTTGAGCAATTTGTACCCGTTGCCGCATCGTGCGCAGGTGATTGGTCTCTCCGAACTGTGAACTTTGACATGTTTGGTGAATTCTGAAGGTTTCAAGTAGGTCCGTCTGCATCCGGGGTGAGGACATCGTAGTTCCCGGGAAGATGACCGTGAGGTCACTTGAAATTTCTCCAGGTCTGGGTTGCAGTCACGGCTGTGAAAAAGGAGAATTTAAGTCATTGAAGGCATACGTGGTCCCATTAATTCATTTGATGAATATGATGAATAAATTATTCATTCAATGTTCAAAAATTGAATCAATATTTTATTCCGATTTTTGACTAGATGAATGGTGAATGAATGAATATCTATTCAATTCCTGTGAATGAATACTTTCTTCATTATTCATTTTTTACTCAATGCTTTGTACATAGGGAAAGTTGAGAAATCCATGTAATTCTGTGAATTTTGAATAGAAAAATAATGAAGGAATTGTGAATAATGAATACATGTTCAATTAATATTTTTTTTACAAATTATGAATGAATGAATAAGGAATGAATATTTTTTTCATTGCTTGGAACGAATGAGCTTTGAATGAATAAATGTTTTTTGAACATGTATTTATGATTGTAGGGAAAATTTGTAAAATATGTATGTTGTTAAATAGTAAAATTGTTCATACTCTCGCTTAATGTGTCGCTCAAAGTTAAATCGCCTGTCGAAGGTGCGCCCACATCTGTTGCAACTGTACTTGGCCAGGGGTTTAACGATTGTACTGCAACCGAATTAAAAAATTAGTGATACTCTTCATGCTCACCTCCTAGAAATTGGAAGCCTTTTATCAAACGTAGTCTGAATAAGGACCATAACAATTCTGCGTGATCTTGGAAAGTATGTGCAGGATAAATACAAATTCTTTAAAGTTCCTATGGGTGACGCGTTGGCGCGTAATCTCACTTTACCCCTAGTCAATGTATTCCAATTTCCTCGAAAATTAATTCGCTAATTTTTATCAAATCGACTTGTTTATAGTACCAAAAATTAGCTTTAGATTAAAACATGAAAAGTTTCGTTTATCTGAAAACTGATGGAGTTGATGCGATTTTGAAAATTACATTTTGAATACATTGGATAGGGGTAGAGTGAGATTACCCGCCAACGCGTCATCCATGGGAACCTTAACCGTTATCGAAGTTTTGAATTAAATCAACCAACCAACATTGACCTTCTGCTTCCTTGTTTCCCAGGGGGATTGTTTTTCCACATAAGGAACACGGTAATGGATAATTTATCTGGGTCGTCCCTTGGGGACAAGAATGCATCTCTAAATCCCTCCCTGCCTGGAAAACTTCTCCACAAGTGGGACAAGATAGTTGGCACGTTTCAAACACTTCAGTTTTAACGATGGCTTCATTTTTAGCGACTGAAAATACTTATATTCAAGAAATACTGAGGTTAATTATTTTAGTGTCGATTAATAATTATGAGGTATATTTATGCATATATGTACGAGATGCCATAAAGTTTGAATACCTTCAAACTTTACGTCGCCTTCTTGGGAATGTGGAATATCTTCGTGTGTGAGATCCGGTTGTCGTAATTTCTTGGACATGGTTACAAATTAATTGTGTTTATGTCAGCTCGAATATATTTTTAGGGTTCTTTGGGACGGCAAAACCTTGGAGGTGTTGTTATTATATTTTCCGAAGGAAAAGATTGTGGCAAGATAGAATTTCAGTTCCAATTTTATAGAAACACTGGTAAATTATAATTACGCGTGTTAAGTAGTTACAAAGGTTGGGTGTCGCGCAAATTGTTGGTTACGATTTATGTACATAAGCTACAATTATACGTTTAGTAGTATTTTATTTCAATTATGGGTTTTTAGTGTTTATTTCTACGGTGTCAAGGTATTAGGTTGTTTGCGCAAGTAAACACAAACATAGTTTTTGAACATAAACACAAAATGTTTGATTCCAGCGCAAAAGTCGCTCCTCCTCCCAGATTTTTGTGTTTGTTTACAAACTCAAACTCAACCTTGAACGCAAAAAGTACCCATTTTGCGTTTGCTCCACCGTTCACATTTATTTCTGTTAAATTGCAATAATTAATTAATTAAAACAAATTAGCTAACGCAAATATTTAAAAATTATTCACACGACTTTGAGAAGGCTTATTTCTTACAAAATAAACATCTGCATCGTTTCTGTACATCTTAATTGCGGTAAGAACGGTTTCCTCGATTCTAAATTTTTTTGTGATGTACAATTTTTTTTGTTCTTTTCACAATTACAGGTATCAGGATGGCTAAATTCTCTTTTAAGAAAAACGTGCAGTATGACATCGCACTGCTGACGGAAGTGGAAACTACTAATCCATTCGCGATTAAAAAACGTAAACCGGTGTGGGTGGAAATCGCAAATAAATTGATCCAGTCTAATTTGAAAATGAAGGTCACGGACCGGTCATGTAGGGAGAGAGTGGACCTGCTTCTCGCTAGTTTTCGAAAGGACGAGACCTCCAGCATTCTGGCGTAAATATTTAAAATACATATATATGCATGTTAATTTAATGTTGCATGTCACATTAATAAAGTTTTTATTTATTTAAATTAGATCGGGCATACTCGAGGAGGAGATGGACGAGCTGAAGAAACTGTTGACCAGTGTTTCTCAATTGGAGAGCCAAAAGCCAGTTTCCGGTCCAACTATTTTTTCAAAGTCAAATCGAGAGGAAGGCGAGAAAATTCGCCGAGGTGCAGTTCAGAATCTGTCAGAGAATTTGTCAGATGTTGAATGTGATGATAAAAAATTGCCGAAGACTGGGGATACTCCACCTGGTCTTGTTCGACCAATAGTTACAGGACCGATTACAGGACAGAATTGCAAAAACAACGACAAGATGCTGAAATAGAAGAAAAGTCGTTTTTCTGAAATGCTGCTGGAAGTATTAAAGCGACAGGAATAAATAATTATTGTTGGCAATAATAATTCATCTGTATTTATTATTTTAATGCGTTATATATTTAAAACATGTTAAGAATTAAAATACTCCTCAAGTGTTGGTGGAGGGCAGTCGAAATAAGTAGATGTCTGAGATCCATTTGTTAATTTATTTAAGTCAAAGCTTATGTTTGATCTGCTAAGGACTTTATATTTTCTCTTTTTTACTGTGAAACAGTGATACGTTATCAAATCTTCTTCAGATTCTATGAAAAATGGGAATAAATCCATACTAAATATGTGTACATTACTTTACTAATTGTACATTAGTTGAAAATTGCGCCGACAGTCCCGTTAATGTTAACGTTTAAAAAACTTCATTTGCGCAAACTAAATATCTGCACACAAACATAAACGTAAATTAAAGTTTGGATTCAAGTTTGCGGTTAAGTTTACGTTTGGGTACCATAACGCAAGCTATCTATAACTGTTGTTATGGAAACAGCTGGGGAACTCGCCGGCTAGGCTGCTCATATCACCACCATGCACCACTCTCATTCATATGCATTCACTTTGTCTGCAGGAGGAAGAGTTGCATGGAAAATTGCATCAAGATGAATGAAAAAGAGGGTACTTGGTTAACGTATGTATGTGTTAGTTCTTTACGTGAAGTATAACAGTGCTGCGGAAGAAACATTTAATTTTACAAACATTATATAAAATATTTGTATGTTTACATATGTATATTTAGATATGAACGTACGTACATATGTATATAAATATTTAGTACGTATTGATAGCCATTCACTATCTTTAACTGTTCAAATAATACAGGAATAGAAGCTTAAAATAGATAGTTTCATAAATTATAAACTTTAATGAATAACTGGATATAAGATAGACAGGGAATCTCATTTCACCTTATTTTATTAATATTTCTCCTCAATAGTACAGTCGTTAAATAAATAAAGTTCTTATATAAAATTAAGAATCCTCATTTTCTTCTTCCTGGAACGTCCTGCCCCTCTTGGATTTCTTCTTCCCTAACTTCTTCGTCCTGGTAGTAACGACACTCTTTTTCCTCGTGACCCTTGACCTCTCCCTCTTTTTAGACCTTGTCGCCGCGACCTTCCTTGGCCTCAGAACCCCGTGTGCTTTTTTCAGATGGCGTTGCAGCGTTGACTTGACCATGTAGCCCTTCCCACAGTGCTCGCAATTGAAGCCAAATTCTCCCCCTGCGGCGAGAAACTTGTCCCCAATGGACTGCGTGACCTTGACCTGCTTCCTGACCTTGGGGGTCGTTGACCTCCTGGCCCTTTGCACCCTCTTCTTCCGTCTCGCCGTGGCATCCACGCTGTGCACCCGCTTCAAGTGGAGGGCGAGCAAGGAGCTGAAGACGAACCCCTTTCCGCACTGGGCGCACGGGAAGGTGAAGGGCCCCCCTTCGGCGTGGGCGCGGATGAGGTGCGCCTTAAGGGCGACCGAGGCCCGGAAGGACTTTTCGCAGTGGGGACATTTCCGCAGTTTGGGGACGTATCCAGGGGTGTGGAAGCGGTTGAGGTGGGCGCGGAGTTTGTGCGAGTGTTTGAACGTCTTGTCGCAGTGGGGGCAGGGGTGCGGGCGGAGGACGGAGTGGGACCGGAGGTGAGAGTTGAGTTCTCCTTTGACCGGAAAAGTGGCGCCACAGGTCTGGAAAAATGAGGATTTAATTTTAGTTGGGGAAATTAATAATGTTGTTTGGGGAATTTTTATTATTTTGGCAACAAATATTTGGCACAAAGCGTGACGACTCGTCACTGACGAGCAACAAATTGGTGTCCGCAGTTCCATGAATAATTTTCAAAACGGGTCAAATTTATAGTGCCCAACCGAAAATTATTTTCTGCCAAGCAGAAGAAATAATTTTCGCAACATTCAAATTTGCAACCATTCGGTTTTATTTTTTTGTCCAACCAAAATGTAAAATAATGCAACCAACTAATTTAATTAAGCAGCGAGATAATTCTTATTAATTAAAACTATTATTTTATTCCCCTTACCTCGCATTGGAACGGCTTTAACCCCACGTGCCTCCACTTGTGCCCTTTCAGCCCCTTCAGCGAGGTGAAATTTTCTCCACTGCAGAGTTAAATAAATAGTCCTTAAAAACATTATTATTTTGGGCAAAATTAATTAATATACTCACCACTCATCGCAAATGAAGGGGTCAGCCCCGTGCTCCTTGACCTTGTGGGCCTGGACGCTGTTCGCACTGGAAAACTTTTCCCCACAAAGGCCACACGCTGGGCGGCTGGAGTCGTCGTCGGTTCTGAGGTGATATTTGAGGAATTCCGGTCTGCCGAATTCCTTTCCGCACACGTGGCAGATGAATGAACTTTGAATTTTTTGTGTTAATTGTGAATTTTTGGTACATAAGTATTCTAAAAGGAAGTATAAGCATAAAAGTGACACACGATATATTGATAAATTAAGGAAAGATTGTAACTTTATGACAATTTTGATGAGAAGAGATTATGTATTGTTAAAATGTGCTCTTAAAGATATGGTGAAAGGTGATATTACTTTTTCTATGAGAAATAATGCGCGTACTTGTCCACTTATTAGTGTAGATACTTCCTCGTCTCAAATTTACAAAAAATCTGTTCAATTCCGCACGACGAAGTTATGGAACGCGTTGCCGAGAGATCTTGATGTTAAGAAGATGTCTTATGCAAAATCTAAACAATTTTTATGTGAAGATATGTTAAAATAACTCAGATAACAATTTAGAAAAAGACTGACTAGGTATACTATTTAGGTGGGTGGAGAGTTCAGATATCACACTATATGCATTTAATGCACACAATATAGGTGTGAAATAATATGCAAAAATTTCCGTGCTAAAATCATTTTTGAAAAAGTAATGACGATTTTAGTGACCCCAGTTTAGGAATTTTCTCAATGCTTTAACAAGCGGTGAATTTTTTTTACTATTGACGTTTAGATATTCCACTCTCTGTCCACCTTGGGTGGATACATTATTTCGCTATGGTCCTAGCCACTGTCCAAAACAGGCGTCCAAAATGTCCAAAATGCACAAAAGTGTCCAAAATATAAAATGGAGCAAAATGTTACAATTTATTTATTACCGATTTTTTGCAAATCTTAGCCCAGATACATAAAGGGTGTTAATAAAGTCCGATCCCATGCATTTTTTGGAGCGTGGTTGTTACAAATTCAGCTGGAACTTTTGAACCAGTGAAGTTATTTATTTCGAATTTTTACCATGGGAGGAACAACTAAACGTGTAAGTCATGAGCATCTTAGAGTTGAGATACAAACATTGCATCAGCAGGGGCTTAAACCTACAGAAATTGTGCAAAAATTGGGCTGCAGCCGCAGAACTGTTTGGAAATGGAAGAATAAAAATTTTGTCCACGACAAAAAGCGACCAGGGCGACCCAGAAAGGTGTCACCTACCACAAAAAGAATGATTAAAAACAGACTTTGCAAGAAAACCGGTAGCTCATTACGTAATTGAGCAAGGGAGTTAAATGACTCAAAACGCTATAAAGAGAAGAAGAAGCAAATTAACTGTGTGACCGTGCAAAAATTTGTGAAAACTACGAAGTGGGGTCACACAGCTTACAAACTAACCAAAAAAACCTCTCATGTCACAAAAATATATCGATGACCGTCTGAAATTTGAAGAACTCCTTCAGAAAAGTGCCCATTTGAGTGAAAAAAGACTTGGTGAAGAATTGCGCAGTCACATCCTTTGGACTGACGAATCTATTATTGAACTATATCCAAAATTGAACCAACAAAATGTTCGTTACAGGACAGAAAACAAATCGGATGTACCATCAAGAGCGATCCCAAAATTCGGGCTTAAAGTTATGGTAGCGGGTGGATTTTGTGCACGTTGCGTGACCCCTCTACATATCATACCAAAAGGCCAATCAGTCAATGCAAAGCATTATATGGAAAAAATATTACCTATCTATTTCGATAGCATGGGGAACAAGGAAATATTTCCTAATGAAAGAAAAATAGTTTTCATGCAGGATGGTGCTACAGCCCATACAGCAAAAGCGAGTTTGAGTCTCATCAAGACGCAAGTTTCAACGGTCTGGAGCAAGGGGGTGTGGGCCGCTAACGGCCCAGATTTGAATCCCCTGAAGAACCAGTGGTCCATACTTAAGGAAAATGTATACAAAGAGCCACAACCCCGGACGAGGGAAGAGCTAGTAAAAAAAAGTTCAAGATGTATGGAATTCGATTTCCAGAGGCACATTGGAAAAATTAGCACAGAGCCTTAAACAAAGAGTTGAGGGCATGGTTAAAGTAAATGGTAACAAGACCAAATACTAAGGTAAATATGTCGAACATTTTTTGTAAGTATCACGGGTAGTTTTTTTTTATACTAGCCTTCACTTTTTTACAGGAAAAATGGGATCGGACTTTATTAACACCCTGTATTTATGCAGTCTCCCATTAATTTTGAATTATGATATGTAATAGAGCATCGCTTGGGAAATTTCCTAATTTCTCAAACGAAAACATGTTTAAACAAAAAATTCCAAATAATGCCGTAAAAATACGCAAAATAATAAGGGGGTAAAATACATGTGGCTAGATTTGCAAAAAATTGGTGATAAAGAAATTGTAACATTTTGCCCCATTTTCTATTTTGCACACTTTTGTGTATTTTGGATACTTTGGACGGTAATTAAAATCGTAGAGAAACAATGTCGGCCCGAGAGGTTGAGAGACAGATGAATCTGTAAAGGTCACAACGAAAAAAAAAATCACCGCTTGTTAAAGCATTGAGAAAATTCCTAAATTGGCGTCACTAAAATCGTCATTACTTTTTCAAAAATGATTTTAGCACGGAAATTTTTGCATATTGTTTCACACCTATATAGTGTGCATTAAATGCATAGAGTGGGATATCTGAACTCTCCACCCACCTAAATAGTATACCTAGTGAGCATGTATTTATGTAGATGGTTAGTCGGTGGATATATTTAGTTATTACATAGTTGTTTAAAAAATATGTGCCACTTGTGGAAGAGCATAGCGTGTAACTGTGAACTTGTTAGACCCCAGAATAAAGCTTCAATACAATACAATACAATACAACACAAGGTTTTTAATTTATAGGATTGAACTTGATTAATTTTTTTCAGTTTTTCTGAAGTACGAAATAATCTCTACATTTTTCCAAAAAATTAGTGCAGATATTATTATCAGAGTGAAATTAGCCGCTTTTTGAAATCCGTATAAATCCGTCAAAAATCCACCCAGCATTGGTCCCGCCATACTTCCCAGCGTTAGCGAGCTCATGTACGCCCCAGCCGAGATGCTGGAAGCTTTTTCAGTATTACAATATAATTTTCTGCGTTTTCAAAAACATAATTCAAAATTATTAAAAACCTCATACATAAAGTTACGCCATACACTCAAAACAAAAATTTATCAAATCATCACCGCCAGTGTCAATATATGTATGACTTAACCGCCTTGTTTACAATTATGATTCCGAGTGGTAACGAAATTTTTCCGTCCGGTTATAACACTATCTCTACCGGTATCAAACTAATCCTAACTCGGATTCAACATTGTAACCAAGGCGGTTAAGTGAAGTATTGATACCGGCGGTGTTGATTTGTCAAATTTTTGTTTTGAGTGTATGTTCTTATGGAAATGTCACCAACTTTAGCATATCTTGAGCCTGGAGGAAGAAGAGAAAAATTGTTAATCCACATCCGAAGCTTAGGGAACAAATGCCGGTTACCACGGTGACAAAATTGCTACAAATATTAAATCATTTCTATGAACGGAATTCGTTAATACACTCGGAATAATCCAGTAAAAAGCGATATTACCGGCGGTCAATTATAAACTAAAAACAAAAATTTGTCAAATCAACACCGCCCGTGTCAATATATGACTTAACCGCCTTGGTAACAATTGTGAATCCGGGTGGTAATGAAATTTTTCCGTTCGGTTACAACCTTATCACTACCGGTATCAAAATCATCATAACTCGGATTCAACATTGTAACCAAGGCGGTTAAGTCATATATTGACGCGATGTTGATTTCACAAATTTTTGTTTTGAGTGTATGTGTGACTCTACTACGTTAGTAATAAATCTGCTGCCGAGGTTTAAAATTACCAGACTAGTAAATTACCAGTTACAAATATTACCAGTGGTAATATTTGTAACTCCTCGGTGATAGGTATTTATTACCAGCTTTAATAAATTTACTACCGGTCCGGAACAAATTTATTACCACATCAGTGTATTTAGTTGCAAATACGTGAATCTACATAAACCTGTCAATTCCTATTCCAACAATTGCGCAATTTCCGACGAACTGAGCCCCGAGTCCGATAAGAATAGCACCTTGAAATAGACAGCCACTGCTTCCCATTGCAACCGTTAGAAGGCTGGCAACCACGGAGAATGCACTGTAGAGAAGACCCGACCCAGTAAAAACCAATCCAATGACGGATGGACTTGTGGCGAACTGGGAGTCAATTATATTTTCAATTCATACTTTTATACCCTACATTAAAATTGATCTAACAATGGAGGTCTCCCAACGTATGTTCACAGATTTGGACAAACCAGTGTCAATCGATCACAAATATAATTAGTATGAAATTTGCAAATGCAACAATCTGTCAATTAGAGGTGAGTAGGGCCTAAGATTTTCAAAACCCGGTCCGCCAATGCCCGACTCAAAAGCCCTATTCAAAAGCCCGGGCCCGCCCAAGTCCAAATCTCGAAAGCCCGCCCAGGCCCGAGCCCATAGGGCTTTGAGCCCGGGCCCATCGGGCTTAGTCGGGCTTTTTTGTCATGGAGTGAGCAATTATACAATTACTTGTAGAGCACTCTAAACTATGCATGATGGAACATTAATTAGTAAAAGACGGAGGATAAATATTTAACAAACAAATTCCAAGGGTTTAGTATTGATTAAATTATTTTCACTGGGTACAAAATAAATAAATCAAAAACTGTTTATGTCAATAATGTATAGGACAAAAACAAGCCGTAGTTTTTATGAACGAACGTCTGGTTGGATAAAGTACTGCCGCTGACTGGTCGTCAACGTCAAACCGGTTGCTTGAAAAGACTCTCTAGCTTGTGATGCGGGGATGGATAATATCCTTTTCGCAATTTTCCGCATCAGTGGAAATTGTGTGGCGCCACACCAAAAGATTCAGGATATGCGGACCTCGCTTGATCCAACAGCCTGACCTTCTTTGAATATTCTCATGCACCGTCGGCTTATCTTGTCTTCTTCGTCCTTTGACACTTTTAAGCTGTGCAACCCTGCCGTTGGTAGTTAATTTTAAACACCGATAACTATCGGTTTCAATTTTGAAAATTTTTGATATTGAAATTATTTTTTAACGAAACCCCTATGACAATACAATAATGAATTGTGAATTTCAAATATAAAATACAAGGGTGCGCTTTTGACTAAACTTTATGACTCTCATATCACTCCTGACTCCAGGAAATATATCAGTCGGGCTTTTTGCTGGTCGAGAGTAAAGCCCGAGCCCTACTCAAGTAAAGCCCGCCCAGGCCCGGCCCGAATCAAACCCCAAACTCAAAAACCCGGTCCGTCCAATGCCCTATGGCCCTGGGCCGGCTCGGGCTAGCCCGAAAAAACCCCGAGCCCGACTCACCTCTACTGCCAATGCGCCGGGTTGGCAAAGATATTTGCATTTAAGAGAGAGGAAAAATGCGCAGTCAATTGGGAAAGTGCAACATTTGCCAGCATTTGGCGCGCATTTTCCCCTCGCTTACGTAAATGCAAATATCTTTGCCAAACCTACGCATTAGCAGATTGTTGCATTTGCAAATTTCAAACTAATTATATTTGTGATCGATTGACACTGGTTTGGTCCAAATCTGTGAACATACGTTGGGGGACCTCTATTGTCAGCTACCTCAATTCTTAGGAATGGTTCCATTAAAGCAAAATAGAATGTAATGACACAGGATGTTAGGAAAATTGCGATAAAGTTTGCCAACACGGGTGGATGTTTCCACAGGGAAATATCAATTTCCTCCTTATCACCGCATTTCTTCGTATTTTCGGGATCTGTGGCGTTACTGTTATCCTTCTTTGGTAGGACGAAAGTTCCCACTCCCGCAAATAAAATAAAGAGACAACCCACAAAGGCAAAAGGAGTGGAAAATCCTTCGAACTGAAATTAAGCAGAAATGCTTGTACAGGGTAGTAAAAATGTCCACGCTACAATGCAAAATTTTGCGATGGGAAAAATTTTATCTCTAAAATTCAACATTTTAAGAATTTCGTCACCAGTTTTGCAAATAATTTTAAAAATCTCAATCCAAAATCTTGTCACTAATGGAGATTTAAGTGTTTTTCCGATGGAACAAATTTCCATTGGAGCGTGACTTGTACATCACCATGTATATTTAATTAGAATCTTAACAGATACAACTACTCTTGTAGGACTTTTCTACGTAATTCGTGACGCGGTCAACGACACTAATAAAATAAGCAATCCTCTGACTCACGCTGTAGAGGTTGGATCCAATTAAAGGTCCCAGAACAAATCCGGCAGGCGTTAAAGACTCCAGAACGCCCTACAAGGTATACGAATTAATGGCAAAAATCCTAAAACTTGTAGGACACGTATATGACAATTACACATGTACAAAAAGATAAATTCTTAGAAGGAAGACTTCCGAGCTGCCCGTTGTGTCCAGGGTACCCACGTTTTTTTAGGATCTCCCTATAGGAAGGATGCTATTTATATTTATGGATCATATTTACGTGCAAAAGTTATATTTGGCACCGTGCCATGGCGCCAAACTTAAAAATTCGAATTTTCGACAAAGTTCGCACGTCTACAACTTTTGCAGTTTTTGTTACATTTTCATAATTTTGTGTTTAAATTGATCCTAAAAGTCCAAATTTTTGAGAAAAAATAAGAGCCACTGTTTGTAATTTTTTAGACTCCCAGACGTAAATATGAATGGACCCTTCGTGTATTGTCCTAGTAGATTCTAAAAAAACATGGTGGATACCCTCAACACGACGGGGACCTCGGAAGTTTCCCTAGTTAGGCATAATTCAAGTTTATTTTACCAAGAAGAAAATCCCAAAGCTTCCCGGAAAGTAATCCGACACGAGGGTAAAAACTGTAGCGAAAACCGAACTTGCCGCAGCTCCTTCAATAATCCGCAAAATTATGGATGCCCCCAGAAATGTTTGTAAATTGTTGATTTTATCCATAAAACCAAAGAATAATAAGGAGGCTCCTTCCACCAGCAAGGAGGAAATTAGGAAAGATTGTGCACTACTTTTGGTAGAGTCCATCTAAAATAAACCGTTCCCAACCAAATTAATTTAGCAAAGGGGTGACTCGACATGGTCGAACGGTCATGGCGCGTAAAAAGGATGGCGATTTCTAAAATCCCCGCCAAAAACTACGTTGAAAAAAAAAAAATTTGACAACTTTGACCCTCGGCGTCATTACCGTGACCGGTAACGCCCATCTTCGAACTCATCCCGTCCCCAAAAACTAGAAACACATTGGCGAAATCCTGATGTCGAGATTCGAATCCGCTCTAAAGTTATCGTGGATACGGACGGACGGACAGACAAAACAATTCCATGAAGGTATTTCGCTTCGCTTCACCCCTTAATACAATGCTAAGGGATGAGTAGTTATCATCGGAGATCTGTTATCATATGACATCGACGACTCACCATGGTTGCTACGAAGGGTGAACAGATAGCTATTGGGACTATTTGTTTAAGTTAAAAGGGCACATCTAGGCATCTACGTTAATTTTAAGTTAACGTATCCTTATCGGAGCTCAATAACCAGAACTGCAGGCACATACATGGTGTTACGGATTCGACGGTTAGTTGGATCGACCGACCATCCTGTTTGCAGCAAGAAAAAAACTAACATCAGAACAATTGCAAAAAAACAAAGGCTTTATAGCAAAAATTCATCATAAGAATTTGTTTTTTCAGTTGTTGTTACGAATTGTTGTTTTAATACACGTTTAGAATTTGTCGTTTACATAATTTCTTCTCTAGAGCAGTAGAGAACTTTATTTGTATTTCAAATTGGAATAAAATTGTATGGATTGGGCTGAGCAGGAACTAATTCTGTAAGAATCACTCTCCCACTGGTAACATCCAAGGAAAGTTGAGGAGCTGTGCGTAAAATTGAATGAATTAACGTGCAATTTTTTATAAAGTTAAAGCGCGAACTTACCCGCTACTGCAGCAACGACCAAAAACGCCGTAACGATAAGAGCTAACCACAAGTGGCCGCATTTTATAAATTTGTTGGAAAATTCTCCACTTTAAGAATGGACTACAAAAATGGTCTGCTGAGCTCATTTTATTTATATTTATTTTGATACCCATCATAATTATAATCCAAAACGCAGATGTACATAATACGATATCCAGGATAAACTAGATCTCCTCACAAAGATGTGACGGAGTTAGCCTAAAATATTCGGCATATGCGGAATTTCTAATGAACAGATGGTTAGTTCTTTCGATGATATTTGTTGTATGTAGAATCGATGAGTAAATTATGCAAGTCTTGCAATTATGCAATACCAGTTTAGTTTTTTCGGCGTATAAACCATTCATTTTTGTGTCTGGAATTTGGAAATTGAATGATTGTCACGCAAAATAAAATAAAGTGGTATTAAATAATTTAGAATACTTTATACGGCTCGGCTCATTCGGCTAACGTAAATCGGCGATGGGTTCCAACTCTTTCAGCAGAAGTAACAGTATTAGTATTAGGACTATGATAAATAAATGTTGAGAGTCGTTCCGGCACTGAACTTTTTTCTCACATAATCTATTTTTCCCTTTCATTGTCACACTGGCGGCCGGTTTTCCAATTCAAACAGGGGTGTCAAGCTGGAGTGAATCCATAATAGAAGGTTGCATTTCATCTGCCCCTGCACAAAGTTTTGGAGGCTTATTTATACTAAAAGCTAGGATCGGAAAAATTAGGGTATTTTCTTACGTCATAAATTACCCTAGTACACTATTGTACACTATTGTAACAGCAAGAAACACTTATTTTGAGTCAAAGTTCATACACATTCACGACCATTTGTCGTCATAGTCACTCTAATGAATGAAAGTGAACAAGTCTGGTTGGGGCACCTCTATTGTTTATTCTTTGTGCCTACCTGTGACATTTTTTCAACATTTTTGCACCAAATATAAATAAAAGAATTGTTTAACTGTCTAAAATTTTGATGGATGTAGCCGAGTAAGGCAGTGAGGAAAACTGGGCACTCTTCACTTACGCAACGCTTCCTCTCCCGCAGAAACAAACGAGGTCAATAATTTGACAACTTGGGTCAAGACGTGCACTTCTGAGTTCGACAAGTGTTTCTCCCTTCTAAGGCCCCGCCCTCCACGTACCCCGTAAAACAAAAATAAGTTTCCCCTTTATCTCCTCGTGGTTACTTTAGGGAAGTCAAATCTCTGCAAAACCATCGAATTGGTAAATGGTCGCATTTGTAAATTTCATACTAATTAAATTTGGTATTGATTGACGCAAATTTGATCAAAACCTGTGAGCATACGCTGGGAGACCTCCATTGTTAATAGTTTAATCCAATTTTGTAAAAATCTATGGGCACCGACAAGTGTGGAAATAAATAAATACCAATACCAACATATACTAAGCAAAGGTTGTAATATGTGGTCACCGATACGATAAGCGTACAATCAAAACTATTTCATCTAGAAATCCCTCTATTTCCAGTTTACTAAATCTCGATAGATTGCTTACAAAATATCTGCAGGACTTGCTAGATCTAATCGAGACAGATATTATGGCAAAGGTGACAAATCCTTTCAACCAGAGCCACACTCTCTCTTATTGCTTCGTCGGTCAGAATCTCTGCTATGTAAAGGACTCCAAGGAGGATCATCGTTATTCCCACAGCGTTGAAGAAGGACGACAACATGTTCATAGAAATAAAGGGTGACGACTCTCGAAGTCGGGGAAATTTCATCACTTGCACCCTAGACAAATGCATTATTTGCCTATTCCATAAATTTGGAAATCCTCCCTTGTCCAGAGCGTTGATTGCCTGCTGAATCTCAACTCTGAGCATGGAGTCCACCAAGGAAAACCGGCCGTGGTTTATGGCAATATCATGAATCAGAAAGCACTCATAATGTCCATTCAAGACTGCATTTCGTATTTGGAGAAAATAAGTAAATGCTTTGTCCTTCTGGGAGAACAGGGCGACATTTCTGTAGCCTCGATGGGTAACGTAGGCAGACGAATTATCCCAGTAGTACCTAGTAATTAAATGAATCCTGTATAATATTTAATTTCGCATAAAGGTAAATAAAATTGAAACATTGCGTTGGTACGATTCCGTTCAAGGCCACAATCTACATACACAACCTTACATTCCCCCAAATACCAATTTTTCAATACCTAGTAATATGGCTGAATCAAACCCAGAGAGCGGTTTGCATTTAGTGGTAGTGTCGTCGATTGGAATAATGATTATTTTATAAATATTTGATCAAATAATGAAGTAAATACATAATATGGAGTATTTGACCTCATGGTGATATGAATATTTGAATGAATTTTATTTGAATAATGATGATGAATTGATGTATCACGACCCCAACCATTAGTTACAGTCGCACATGCACATATATGGTGCGAACATTAAAAGAAGAGTACAATGTTTTGACTGCTTTTCAACCATCATCCTCAGTAACCGCGGGGGGCTATGATGTGACGTAAGTTTCATGACCAATTGAGCCTTACCTGTAAAGCCTAGTACTCAGGACGAATGTTCACGCGGAATTTCATCGTGCTTAAATTCTGTTAAATTTTCCGCTCAAGAGAAATTCGTAAGCGGACAGAAAATACCACTATTCCACACATATTTAGCTCAATTTTCACTCGTAGGTACTCAGGTCGTTTGAGCTGAAAAACAGGTTTCACTTTGCCCCATTTTAAATTAACCGCCTTGTCCTTGAGTTAAAAATGAGATTTTGAGGTTGCTCCGCCCTCTTATTTTGAACTCAGAGGGGCGCGAGTCACATTCCGCTCATATTTCACGTGAAAGAATTGCCTCGATTTAACGGAAACTTTGAGCTTACATTGAGCGAAAACTGCTCGCGCGGAAAATTCCGCACAAGTTTCACGCGAAGACCTGAGTACCACTCGAGCTTAACTTGAGCAGAATTTCTGCAAAAGTCGTTTTCCGCGCGTAAAGTCCATCGTGAGTGCTAAGCTTAAGCTGGGTAATTTTTCATTAGTTTCCTGAGGAGGAATGAAGATTGACAAGCCGTCAAAAATTATACTCTTCTTTTAATGTTCACACCATAGTCGCCTCAATAAATTACGGGTGGGGTGCCAGTAAAAGTTTGGTATATCACTCGCATTGTCTGTATTAGTCGTAGGACAGAACATTATCCATCCGTAGTTTAGGCTTACCCAATCTGTATGGTTTTATCATCGGGAAATTTGCCCAATTTCTTCAGCAAAAACTCTTCCTTCAATTGCTCCTGAACTGAAGTAAAGCCGCTTCTATTCTCCGACGCATAAACAAGGGTATAATCGTTGGCAAAGAATTCGCTGAGGGTGCGAAGTGGCACATAACGCGGTGGCGCTACGAGATTGGCGGTGAAATACAACTCGTACTGAGCAAGGAGCATAAAGCTTGTGAAAAAAGTGACACCACGATCCACAACGAGAGCCGCTTACTAACTGAATCTTGTCTGACAAAAGTTGAGCAAATTGCAAATACCACCTCTCCCACTGGTTTAAGAAATTCGTAGTTAACAGCGATTTTTTGAAGTCGAAGTATATCCTTCAAAATTTGAACGAACACTGCAATCAAGACGACTAGGAAGCTACACCTCAGGGGCAAAAGGTGACACCCACATGTCTAAATCGGTATTTTCAGACCACTCCTTGAAGTTGCAGTATATCGCGTTACTTCCCTGATACTGGAATCTGAATAGTTTATTCGTATCTGCATACATGTAGGAATGCTTCCAGAATCCTTGGTGGTAATAACCCAAAGTATACATGTGCCAAATTGATTGAGGAATCTTAACAAAGGTTATGTTTAAAATGTAACTTATCGATAAATATTGTATCTCCTTTGCGTCGCACATTGCCTTCTGAGGTGCAATGTAGTACTGCCCCACAAATCTTGCCTGGCTTAAATTCGTGGTATAAGTTGGTGGCGATAGCGATATGGCTTTGCCATTCATGTGCCTGGAACGACATTACTGTCAACGTCTTAATCTTAGGGGCGTAGGTGACCCAAACAGATAGGTACTTGCAATATATGCAGACAAAGTACCATTCCATTTCTAGAGGAAGAAATGAATCTGAGAAACCCAGGTTTACTTTTAGGTCAACAAGGAAAATTCTGAAGGGCACGCGATATTCAAAAATGTACTGAGCCGTCATTTGGAGTGGTTTGGGGAGTTCAGAGATAAGAATAAATGTAGAATGTGCCAAAACTCTGAAAGCATCCCGTGAATAGTATAGATACGCACTGCGAACTTGATTATCTTCATTTCCATACTTTACAAATACTGTGACCGTGCAGACCTCGTAGAACGTAAAGTCCTGTACCCTCTTCTCCTCGTGGATAGAAAAGTTGGAAAATATTAATCGATCAGAAATAGTGTAGATCAGAGAGGTTGGATTGTTGGTGTGGATGAGGTGCTCTGTTAGGTCGACGTATCTCCTATCATTGCTCAATCTTACAAATTTGATCACGCAGGGCCCAAAGTGTCCAAAATTACCGGGCGGTAATTCTGGGCTGATCATGGCGTACGTGGATGATATCGTGATTACCAGCAAGACTAGCACGAGGTAACGTTTGAGAAACATT